CTCTTACGTACATTCCCGGAGGTAGGAGGACTGCGAACGGTGTTTGCGAGATTTTACAACGAAGGCGGCTCGCGTCGAACATTCGGCGAGGGCATGAGAGAGACGAAAGGTGACTACGGAGTAGCGACCACTTGACAGAGCGGAATGCGCGTCACAAACTGCCTCGGCGACTGGCTGCTGGCACTCTCGAGGCTATGCCTACACAGCCTCGCGCGCATGGGCAGTCAGGAGGGACCATGCACCTTCTCCGGACAGCGCCGGTCCCTCTCTCTTGGACCGGCAAACTTGGTGGTCTCGTGTCACCAATGTGGGACCAGTGCGGCGGATCGCGCCATCGACAGCTCTGAACTGCGCCTCACCACTGACCGGGAAGGCCATAGTGGGCCAGCACCGGTCACACATTGTGGCAGCAGTCAGCAGTTGTCTGATAGCTAGAGCAGCAGCGTCAGGGTCGCAGGGTCGGATCATGTCAAGCCTCTCGCCCGGCCGGCCGCGTGCAGACGTCGGCCTGTCTGCTGTCTGGAGTGATCTGTCGGCGGTCAGTACGACCAATCAGGTCGGAGTTTTCTTATGGTTAGAGGGTATATCTGTATGTACTCCTCGAGATCTCTCCAAATCTGCCCTCTGATCAACCGTGATCATTCGGGAAGTCGGTGCTAGCGGAGACTAGCGGAGCCGGAGCCCCGTTTCCGCACTGCGGCGCGGCGCACGGTGCCTCCGGGGGCCCCCGCCTCCCCCCAGAGACAAGGCGCGGGCGACGGCTTCCTCAGAAGCCGTCGCCCTCCACGAGCCACGTGAGAAAGGATTCTGCGCGGCGCGCCACAGCGCACAGGCCCAGCCCAGGTGCCCCCTCCTGCGCGCCAACGAGAACGACATCGGAGGCCCCCGTCTCGCGCGTGCAAAGCATTTGGCCTTTCGCTTTCCTCTGCTCTCGGCCGCTTAAAAAATCTTCTAAGACGCAAGATAGGGGCTGTCACGCGTACAGGCTGGTGCAGAAGACCACGTCGCGCACGAGGAGCTTTTGCGCCGCCTCGCACTTGGCCTGTAGCTCCTCGTTGCCGACCACCTTTGCGGCGTCGATGATCTGGTGCAGCAGCTCCTCTAGCCGACGCATTGCCCGGATGATCAAACCCTCGTACGCTTCGGTTATTTTGCAGAGCTCGGCCAACTTTGCCCCACTACACCAGTCAGAGATTAGGTCCACCAGGCAGGTGGAGAAGCTCGCAAATGTACTTTG